AGTTGTACAGTATCTCAAACATGTTTTCATACAGGCGGCATCTTTTTTAGGCAGGATCTGTCAACTAATACTCATAAACCAGTCATGAGCTCGTCTGAGTTGAAGAGTAAGGCAAAATGGGCAGTCGCGCTATCCCCTCCAGCTTCGATAATATAGAACTCTGACTGTCCAATTTTTCACATAAACTCAACGGTAACCCAACATGGGTATGCATTTAAGGCAAATCTTCGACCAATTGGGAATTGTTAAATTGAATTTATAAACGCTTTTTGTGATTCTACACATTTAGTACAAACTGAACTCGACTAGAAGCCTAATAGCAGCATTTTAGCACCAATTTAAGGCGTTTATCCAACTTGCTTCTGATTTTGCTTTTGCTTAGTCCCAAGCTTACTCATAAGATTTCCGTACAATCGCTTTTGTGTCCAAATGAATAGTTGAGGAAATCCGAAGCTAATAGACTTTTAGTGTTATCGTTTTGTTCAATGTGTTTAGAATTCTCTAACTTTCTTAATGTAATTACGTTCGTATTTAGTAGGTCTCAAAATTACCAGATCTTATTATAATTATATTATTACTATTACTATTATTAGTATTATGATTATGATTCTACAGCGTTTATTCATATCCTTGTATATTTAGAATTATTTTCTTGTGCTCATTATGCATGCAAGACACTTTTTTTATAAGACTAACCCTTTCAGAAGGGCAAAAATTTCATGAATTACGAAAAATACTTCATTAATTACAACTACACCTCACCATAAAGACACTCCTTTTTTCCCTGTCGAGTGGGACGCGAGTTCGCAGGACGAATTCTCTGTACTGCAACTGAGAGAGGCTACCTCCTCCCGAGGTATGATGTCCCTCACCACCGGCTGTAAGTGCCCCACTAGACGTTTGGCCATATCCGCCCCCCGTGAATCGGGACGGCCTTCCGGTCGGGGCCGACATGGGGCTCTGGCCGGGAGCTGGGGTCTCCTCCAGTCCGAAAGAATCTGCCTCACGCAAAAGG